CTCATAAGATTTCAGTAATAAAAGTTACCATCCATAAAACAGCTTAGTTACTTAGTTACTTTTGATGCCTCAACCCCGCTGATTTAAAATCCAACAGTCAAATAATTCCTAGATTGATTTTCATCATTTTCACGGCTCGCACATGCATGTGATGTCCCCAGTGCAGCAGGCAAGCTTGGAATATGGAAAAGCTTACATTCAGCAGATAGAAATATTGCATTATATTGATTTTGTCAGGAAAAAAGATGATCTGAGCACTGTCGAGTAAGTTGTGGCTGTACTTTACTCTGGTATTACATCCCACCCACATCCCTCTGATCAGCATTTGGTACATTATATTACTATAATTAAAAATATTTTTGGAAAATTAAAGTTTCTTACAAACTTATGTGATTTGATAAAATACATAATGAAATATAATCGTATATGGGTAACGGAGAAATTACAATTAGCTTCAAGCTACACATGACAATTAATGAGATTAATACAACACTTCTACTTGAATGTCACTAACAATCACTAGAATTTTATGTGGAAGATACACAGTTACAACTTCTGTGGGCATGAAGAAAAAGTAATGTAACTAGTAGTGTAACTAGAAAGTAATAAGTAAAGTAATAATATTACTTTTGAAATGAGTAACTAGTTATGAGTAATATATCACATTCTTTGAGTAACTAGCCCAACACTGTTGATAATAAAGTCAAAATTACAAGAATAAAGTCTTATATGAAATTAAATTTGTAATAATCTGAGAATAAAGTCATAGCACTGTGAGATTAAAGTGGTAATATTTTGAGAAAAAAGTAAAAATGATGAGAATAAAGTAGTATCAATACTAGAATAGTTTTACAGCAATAAGAGATTAAACTTGTTATACTTTGAGAATAAAGTTGTAGCATTGTGAGATTAAAGTCGTAATATTTTGAGAATAAAGTAATTTTGACTTTAAATATTAAGATTTTAATCTTACAATGCTACAACTTTATTCTCATAATTTTGACTTTATTCTCAAAATATTATGACTTTATTCTTGCAATCTTACTTTTTACAAGGCACTAAATCCCTTTTTTATTATAAAAAATAAATAAAAATGCTGTTGTACTTTGTAGAGAAAAGTGTCTTTTAGAGAAAAGCATTTTTATTTTATTTTATTTTTTATTTCATATTTTACTTTATTATTTTTTATTACTATTTTTAATGGCACAAGTAGTGAATCACTATCTATCATAAGCATGTAAATCTGATCATATAGATTAAATAGAGCTCTGTTTTTCTGTACCTGTTAAAACCTCTCAGGTATTTGTGAATCAGGTTATCAGCTCAGATGGCGAGTTTACACCTGAAAAAAAACATCCATAAATACCTGCTTTACCTGAATCATGGTAAATGTGTCAGTATATGACAGACAGAAGACAGTTTTGTTCTCAGAAGAGCTGTTTCTTAGAAAATGCTGTGACTGTTTACGCAGGCGTTTACGTCTCTTATAGGCTAAACATATAGGCGTATCTCACATCTACAACAGTAAACATCTGTAAAGAGCTAATTCCTCAGGTAGCTTTATATGGGGTGAAACTAAAAACGTTTCCTGCTGTGATTTTCATAGGTACGGATGAAAATACCATTCATTTAAAACTCGCTCTAATTGCACTATTAACTTCATAATTACTGCTCAAATCTAAAACCGGAGAGCAAAAACAGTCTGAATGTGATTGCAGCTGATATAGAATGTGTTTAACTGTGTGTGTTTGTTGTGCATGCGAGTGACTGCGGAGTTTTCACTCTAAACGTTGTGTTTTCAATGTGAAATGCTGACATTGTTCTCTGTTCCAGCTTCCAGAACGGCCCAGAACACGAGCCAGAGAGACAGATACAGCAGCTCTTTGTGCTTTATCACCCTGTTGGTCTGTTTGCTGTCATATCTTTCTGTTAATTATTTTTTGGCTCTTTTCCAACCTTTAACCACAGATGGAACACATTTAAAGACAAGTACACAAACTACACAAAAAAAAATAGGCCTACGTATTACGTACACAAAAATTCAAAGGTTTGGGATCATTGTTATCATTTTTTTAATAAATTAATACTTTTAATCAGCAAAGATGCATTACATTGATCAAAAGTGACAACAAAGACAAAATAAATATAAATGCTGTCGTTCTGAGATTTCTATTCATCAAAGAATTGTGAAATCCAAAAAAAAAATTTTTTTTACAACAATGTGAAGCAGCACAGCTGTTTTCAACATTGATAATTATCAGAAATGTTTCTTGAGCAGCAAATCAGCATATTAGAATGATTTCTGAAGATCATGTGACACTGAAGACTGGAGGAATGATGCTGAAAATTCAGCTGCGCATCACAGGAATAAATGACATTTTAAAATATATTACAATAGAAAACAGTTATTTTAAATTGTAATCACAATTTTTACTGTATTCTAGATCAAATAAAAGCAGCCTTGGTGAGCAGAAGAGACTTTCAAAAATATTTGAAACTTTAAAACAGGAGTGTATATACAGTAATACATTTACTGATTTATCTCATGAACACTTGACAATAACTGTGGAACACACACTATTTATTCACTCATACACTTATTTATCTAACAAACATACTCAGTCTACATTTCAATTTGCACATAATATACCTGTACATACAACTGTCTATTGTTATATACCTGTATATACAATTGTCGATTTGTATATTTTTATTCCTTATTTACTTGTTCTATTTTTTTTATTTATTTATTTTTTTTTTTATTATCTGTGTTTTTTGTTCTGTCACTGTCATTCTGTTACACTGTGGAAGCTTCTGTCACGAAAACAAATTCCTTGTATGTGTAACCATAGCTCATTCTGATTCTGATTCTGATTCTGATTCTGATTCTGATACTTCTGATGTTGTAATGTAGCATTAAAAATTGCCATATTGTATACAACATACGGTGGGGTCCAAAAGACTGTGACCACATTGAAAATCTGGATTTTTTTTAATTTAATTGTTTGTGATTTTATATTTATTTTATTTTGTTTTGTTTTGTTTTGTTTTTATTTTTTTGGAAATAAAGATTTAGAATTGTTTTTGAATTATGTAAAAAAAAAAAGTTAGGACGAAATTAGAATCAAATCTAACAAGTAAAATGATTGTTGTTGATCATGTGACTGTACAGACGGTCAGATGTTCATCCACTGAATCTCAAGGTGCTCTTTCATGCATCTCAAATCAGGCTGGAGGTTTTATTCATGTGTGAAATGTGTGTGTTTTGTTCAAAATGTGACAAAGTATGAAATTTTTAATAGTGATCTATAACTTTTGGACCCCACTTTATGTGTGTGTGTGTGTGTGTGTGTGTGTGTGTGTGATTGTGTGTAACACCTTTGACCCAAATAAGCTGATCCTGTCTTGACATGTTGGAGTTTTAGGGGGCGTGTGTGTGTAGCCTCTGGTTAAGAAGGAAATACACCCCCTCACAAACCCCTGTGCCAACTGTTGTATAACAAAGCAGTTAAACGAAAGGGGCCCTAAACCCAACATTATTTATGCCCGTGTGTGTGTGTGTGATTGCACACAATGAAAAGTGAGAACTGAATGGATGACATTGAGATTTAGATGTGTGCTGAGTATCCGGCAGCACAGATATACAAATGCATTGGAGCTGTGTGTGTGTGTGTGT